TCCTCAATTTCCTGCATTCGCTTCTCTAGTAATTCTGCCTGGCGCTTCTGCTTCTTCTTCAATTTCTTCTTCTTATTCTTTGACATTTTGTCAGCCTGGGCGGAGATTACAAACAAATAAAGCCTTCAGGTGGCTAATCCATTACTTCTAGTTGGACATAACTGTTAACTTTAATTACTTCCTAATTAAATTTTACTTTTCCTAATTTTTTCATTAACTTACAAAGCCGCAGGTATTCTCATGAAACCAAATAAAAACAAATTTCACAATATATGTTGGCTCTCTGAGCAGCCTGTGTGTGTAGGGGGGATTACTCTTGGATACTCAAATTTACAGAAACCTCAACCAGTACACACTTGCTGAAGACTCATGGGACTTTATTGGAAAAAATTAGAGAAGCGCAGGAATATTTTTCCTTTTGGTCTCCAAGCTCTGAACAAATTGTGACTATAACAGAAGAACCCACACACTCATAGCCCCTTGATCAAAATTAAGTATAGAAACCCTTATACTTACTGGCTTAGGCTGGGGAGCAGTACTGACTGAAAAGAAAAGAAGACCAAGTAAGAAGCTAGCATTGAGCAAGCAGTAAGGCTTAGGTAAGACCCCATATCAGGATGAAAATCTCTCCTACATAGTCTACGTTGCTTTTAACTGACCTTGGTAGAAGCTACATTCTTATTTTCAAAGAAAACAATGCACAAATTTGCCAAATTAAAAAAAAAAAAATCATGTTAAATCTTCTCCCAGACAGCAATCATCATCTATAAAGAGCCAAGTTCCCATTTCTGGTTTCTACTACTAACGTCGCCGATTTTCTATGCCCATTTAGTGCTTACTAGAGCAAATGAGGCCACAACCTCCTCATCTACATACAGGACTCCTATGCCTCTTTTAATTGTTCCCTCTCAGCAGGTGTCCATTGTTGCACACAATAAATGTCATAAACTCCTTTACTTTGAAAAACTGAAACTATACCTATCAACACCTTCCCCCTGCTTCCTTTCACCAGCCTTTCTTTAAAAGGAGGTTTAGGGCTGGCCAAATAGCTCACTGGGTTAAAGCACCTGCATGCAGGCACAGGGGCCCGAGGTTCATCCCCAGGCCTGCCCCCCCGGGGCACATTAAGATGACACTTGACTGGGCCTGGTAGCACGCCTGTAATTCCAGCTCTTGGGGGGCTGTAAACAGGCAGATCACTACTAGTCCAATCTAGAAGTGAGACCCTGAACACCTTGTAGACCCTTCCCTAAAATAAAAATAAGTAAGTAAAAGGAGGTCTGACAACTGATGGCTTCAAATATGATTAAACTATTAAATTAAAACTTATACCTCAAATCCAAGAATCATAATCATAGAAAGCATACTTTACCTATCACACAAAACTTATATGGCACACTAGAAAATACTTCAGCATAAACATTAATCCTAATAACTCCTACAAGAGGCAAAATGGAGTCTAGTAACTCAGCCTGTGCCTGCCAGGATAGTGAAGTGAGGATCTGAACTAGCTCAGACTGCCCCCCTACTAAGCCCCAGTTCCTAACACCAGTGTTATCGTGCCTCTATGCAGACTGCTAATCTGTAAACCAGTAGGTGTGATCACAGCAATAGTTAAGCACATCAAAATGGCCATCAAAGAAAAAAAACCCTGGAAACAAGTCACCATTTATTCACCCAGGGTCTCACTACGTAGTGCAAGGCTGGCTTCCAAGTGCTGGGACTACAGGTGTGAGCCATCACTCCCCAGATACAAAGTGCCATTTTAATATTCAACATATCTATACCTATACCTATGGGACGCTGCAATGTCTAGTCTTCTCATAAGGAACAATAATGAAAATGAAGTTTCTTGAAAACTGATATATTTCTTTATACTTAAATGACTGAGAGGTGTTTAATGGCCTGGTGAAATAAAGAATAAAAGTAGACATTTGTCTTAACTTCTAGTAAGAGCAACGCACTCTGCTCCCACCCCAGTGTACCTGCAGACCCGGAAGGTGGAGGGGCTCCGGATCGCTGCCATTCTGTGGCTTCTGCTGCCAGTCTCCGGATGTACTGCTCGTTCACCGACAACAAG